CAGGGGGTTGGGGGCCCTTCCCCTGTCACAAACAGAGCGAGGGCTGATTAGGGAGATAGTGCCCCGCCCCCTGTCACACACAGAGCCGCAGGCGATCAGGGGGTTTGGGTACTGCCCCCTGTCACGCTGATCCTGGTGCCGGGAGGCATAATACCCTTTTACTATAGAATAGAGGCCTGGTGCACGGGTGGGGGCCAGCTGGTTTGCCCGGAAGGGTGTCCTGGATCAGGGTGGGGGTCCCCACTGGGGTGCCTGGCCAGCCTGGATGAGGGGATGATGGCTGTTTGCAGCTGGTCACACACCCTTCTGGGTGGGTGTCCCCTTGGGGTGCCTGGCCAGTCTGGGTGAGGGGCTGAGGGCTGTTTTCAGGCTGGCGGGTGACTGAAGCTCCCAACCACTCCTTTTTTTCTTTTCTTTTTTTTTTTTTTATTCTGGGCCAGCTTTAGCTCTGAGGCTTGGCTCCAGCTCTTAGGCCTCGGCTGCTGAAAGCAGGTATCTGGTTTGTTTGGGTTCTATAATCGAAACACTGTTGCGGTCCTGCTGGCTGAAGCCCGGCTAGCTGAAAGCAGGTTTCTGGGGTTTTGTTTAGCTTCTATATTTGTAATAATGTTTCAAACTGCAAGCTCAGAGGCCGGCAGCGGCAGGCAGGGAACGTTGGAGTCCTCCATCACTGAAGCAAGCAAGCCTCCTGTTAGCTTCAAGCTGCCTGGCTGCTGGCTGCCATCTTGGCTGGCAGTTAATTTGCATATCGCCCTGATTAGCCAATGGGAAGGGTAGCAGAGGTATGGCTAATTACCATGTTTCTCTTTTATTAGATAGGATAGCTGTCACAGATAGTGATTCCTCTGATGGATTGGGGCAAAGTCAATTGAAAAGCTTCTGGAAAGGATTAACAATTCCAGATGTCATTAACATCATTCATGATTCATGGGAAGACATCAAAATATCAACATGACAGGAATTAGGAAGACATTTATTCCAACCCTCATGGATGGAATTCAAGAGTTCAGTGAAAGAAGTAACTGCAGGTGTGGTGGAAATAGTAAGGGAGCTAGAATCAGAAGTGGAGCCTAAAGATGTGACTGAATTGCTGCAATCTCAAGATAAAACTTTAATGGAGGGGGAGTTGCTTCTTATAGGTGAGCAAAGAAAGTGGTTCTTGAGATGGAATTTACTCTGGGTGAAGATGCTGTGAAGGTTGTTGAAATGACAACAAAAGGTTTATAATAGTACATAAACTTAGTTGATAAAGCAGTTGACAGGGTTTGAGAGGATTGGCTCTGATTTTGAAAGAAGTTCCACTGTGTGTAAAATTCTATCAAACAGCATCATATGCTACAGAGAAATCATTTGTGAAAGGAAGAGTCAATAGTTGTGGCAATCTTTATTGCTGTGTTATCTTAAGAAATTGTCACAGTCACCCCAACCTTCAGCAATCACCACCTGATTAGTCAGCAGCCATCAACATTGAGGCAAGAACCTCCACCAGCAAAAAGATTAGAATGCTTAAGGCTCAGATGATGGTTAGCATTTTTAAGCCATAAAGTATTTTTAAATTAAGGTATGTACATTGTTTTTGTAAACAATAATATTGCACTTAATAGACTACGGTATAGTGAAAGAACTTTTATATGCACTCGGGAGCCAAAAGTTTGTGTGATTTACTTTATTGTGATATTTGCTTTATTATGATGGTCTGGAACCAAATCCACAATATCTCCTAGGTATGCATGTATGTAAAACAAAAGATTTTTAAAATATACCATCCTATATAATAAAAGGCTAATATGCAAATCGACCGAACAGTGGGACGACTGGTTGCTATGACACTCACTGACCACCATGGGGCAGATGCTCAATGCAGGAGCTGCACCCTGGTGGTCAGTGCACTCCTACAGGGGGAGCACTGCTCAGTCAGAAGCCAGGCTCACGGCTGGTGAGTGTAGTGGCAGTGGCAGGAGCCTCTCCTGCCTCTGTGGCAGGCGGACATCCCCTGAGGGGTCCCAGACTGCGAGAGGGTACAGGCCAGGCTAAGGGACCCCCCTCCCCCAGTGCATGAATGTCGGGTACTGGGCCTCTAGTACTGTTAAGAAAAAGCCAGTTTAAAAAAGTACTTTAAATTTTTTTGTTCCAGAACAAATCTCTGCTATTTTTTTATTCTTTTTTATTTTGCTTTCTGAATAGTCAGCCAAATGAAATTGAGAGGAACAAAATTGATTAAACCAGTTTTCTGAAATCAATTTGAGTCATTGTTGATCAATAAACATTAATTAAGGGGTTCAGCATTACAGATAATGCATAAAACATACTAAATAGTTAAGTGTGATAATGAGAAATGAATGGCTATATGAAGTAACTAAGTTTCATTGAATTTATTTCTTTATAACATTATTTGAAATATATATTAGCATGGAAAATGAATTTATAAGAGAAATAAATTATATTATTATGTGTATATACTGCCCATTTAATAACACTCTAATATATCACAGTATGAGAGAAATGCACCCTAGAGAAAATGCTGCTATTCTTCATAGAAAAATCCATGAGTCACATAATGCAACAATTAATTGATGATAAATGATTTAATTCTAGAACTCAGAATAGCTTATTTAAATGCCATCAGAAAAAAACCCCTTACCCGCAAAAAGGAGTCTAGGGATCCATTCTCCATATATTCCACCACAATCATAACTGGCCGGCCTGCAAATAGAGCAAGGGAACACACAGGATTAGAGCAATCACAGAAATATGTGCTGCAGTTAGAGATTTCCAGCTGCGGCAGCTAAATTATTTGTATTTTATTAATAGGAATTTCATTTTCCAACATGCTTCTATAAAAGTACTCATACTACACACCTCTCCATTTCTTTATAGCATTATTTGAGTTCATAAAAGGAACATGAATTACAATACGAATTACAAAAGAATTAAGCACTTCCTTTTCTAAAGCCCTGCAATCACTCGTTTGTTTAGATTATGTTCTTTTTGTCTTGAGCTTTTCCTTAAAAGATAATCAACAAGCTGAAGTCAGGGTTTGAATAGTTACTATAGCTGCTTTGGTAACTGTGCTACAACTTCTATAGTGGTGCAGTAATCATGGCTGAATTACATCAGACCGAGCATTTCCGAAATATTCCTAAGGCAAAGCAGAAAAGAGAAATTCATAAATTCTCTTTAAGAAATGATAAACCATCGGTCATAGTCTGTTTTTAAAGGCTTTTAAGTAGAAAAATGCCAGTAGATTGATGAATGTTACCAAGTTGGTGGGATCTGTAATAATTCTTGATCATCTCTTTATTGGACATAGATTAGATCAACAGAACAATGATGGCAGTACATGAAAAATAAGTAACTCTGATTTCGTAGTCTAGTGCAGAAGCTAAAATCAGAAACTGAACATCATTTCTTTTATATCATATCTATTTGCAATTGTTACAGTTCCTAATACCTCTATTAGGTAGCATATTTGACATAAGTAACTTTGATTTGTTTCAAAGAAAATAATCTATTTGTTCTGCTCAATTTCCCAAGTTTAAAAGATAAACTCATTTCAAATGAAGGGAAAATGTTATTTACCTGAAACAAACATGTATGACATATTTACTTTTTACTTCTATATTTCTTGCTTCTCATTGGAATTTTTAGCAATTTAATCTGCGCTGTGCACAGAGTTTTTCCTCATGAGTATAAAGATCCGGGAAGAAATTATGTGTACCAAACATGGAAAAATTAGGGCTCATGTAATCATGGAAAATTAAGTCTCATGTTGTAAGTCATGTCCCTTTTATAAGTCTAAGCCTTGTGGGTTAGAAAGGGTGATAGTAACAAATTAGTACAATGTCTGCAAATGCTAGATTTTTACAGTTGAATCTGTATTTTAAAGAAAGATGTGCTAAAGGTTAAATGTAATAATAAAGTTCCCAATTTATCATGCATAGAATTAGAACCCAAAGAAGACATCCATTTTGTTGGATCTCTATAATGTTCCCTAAAGTCATTAATTTCACCCAAATACAGATAAAGAACTTTATCAGAAAATATTGAGGTCAAATGAACTGTCAGCACTATTATAATCAGTGACCTAGAAAATCAGGTTTTAAATCTGAAAGTTTGTAATGAATTTTTTTATTTGACTATTGATTTCAAAGAGCTTAGAGACTAGGAGCCTGTTGTAAACACTTGGTTAGCAAGGTAGGGAAAAATAAAAGGTCACCTTACTATCCTACTATCCTAATAAAAGGGTAATTTGCAAATTAACTGTCACTCCGTCACAAAGATGGCAGCACCCATAGCCACAAGGTGGCGGCGCCCAGTCCTCTCAGCCCCGCGGGAGTCCCCCAGTCCCAGGGGGCGGGGGGCGGCTGGTTAGAGTGGCCAGCATGAGCGGCCAGGCAGAATGCTTGCTTTGAGGCCCTGCCCAAGCCACGGTGGAGGCTTGAGTGGAGCCGGGGGGCCCTGCCCAAGGGGGGTTGTGCCAGCCGTAGCTTGCCAGCAGTCCTGCCTCTGCGCATGAGCTGCAGCGGAAACACCTTTTCTGACAGCTCATTGGCTAAGCTCCCGGTATGCCACTGGCAGTGTTCTTGGTAACTTGGGTAATAAGAATCCAAGAAGGTGATCTAGGGTTTTTCCACCACACTCCTGGCGAAAAAAACGAAGGTCTGCTGCTGGAGGGGCTAAGAAATGTCATATCCTGCCCTAGCCGGTTTGGCTCAGTGGATAGAGCCTTGGCCTGCGAACCGCAGGGTCAGGTTCAATTCTGATCAAGGCCATGTGTCTAGGTTGCAGGTTCTTCCCTTGCCAGGGCCCAGGTCAGGGCTCATGCAGGAGGCAACCAATCAAAGTGTCCCTCTCACATTGATGTTTCTCTCTGTCTTTCCCTCTCTCTTCCATGCTCTCTAAAAATCAATGGAAAAATATCCTCAGGTGAGGAGAAAAGAAAGAAAGAAAGGAAGGAAGGAAGGAAGGAAGGAAGGAAGGAGGAAGGAAGGAAGGAAGGAAGGAGGTAGGAAAGAAAAGAAAGAAAGAAAAGAAATGTCATATCCTATGAAAGACACATCTTGAAAATGCCTAAAGAAAGTTGTCATTTTTTCGTGGTGAAGGAACTGGAGTCTGTGTTGATGAAAACACCTTGGCAGCTGTGGCAGCAGCAGTGGGGTGATGGGGCTGGCACCTTCTCCTGATCAGCCCGGTCGCCTTCCGCAGAGGGAGGCCACTCTCTGAGTGGGCCTAAGCCGTCAGTAGGACATCCCCTGAGGGCTCCCGAACTGTGAGAGGGGGCAGGCTGGGCTTAGGGACCACCCCCCCCCCCAACCAGTGCACGAATTATGTGCACTGGGCCTCTTGTATAAATATAAAAATTCTGAGACCAATATACCAGTTTGATGTATAATATATAATAGATTATGGATGTTAAGAGGAAATGTTGGGTTACTACAATGACTACCTGAGTTCTTCTGCACATAGTCACAATATTTCAATCTACCTTGACCATATTTAACTTTTTAAAAATACAATTTAAAAAATATTTATCCTCTCCCTAAGAATGTCAGTCTTATTAGAATAAAAAGAGTTTGCAAGCACTTCACTTATATTGATACATGCTATTATTATCTCAATTCCACAGATAAGAAAATTGAGGGATAGAAAGTTAAATTACTTGCCTAAAGTCAAACAGCTAGTAAGTGGTAGTATCAGGCAGTCAGTCTCAGAATTTAAGCTCTTACCCTTCATGCCATGGTGCCTCTCAGACACTGTTTATAGATCAAAGCTGTAAGCCTCTGTTAGCCAATCCTCATCTCTCCTAACCAGCCGTTTCATTTCCTGATCCATCAGTTGTCATTACCACCTATACTTGTTCATTCCTGTCTCCTTCTGCCTTTCCTTTTGGTATTCCCCTGCCAGGATTACCTCCCAACTTGCTTCTCTCTCTAAACATCTCACCTCACAGCTCCCCAGATTGTATACACTGCACCTGTTCCTTGAGAGTCTCCCACAGTGATATTTCCTATAGCTGCCTTCCCATCACAACTTTGTCTGCATTCTGACATGTGCCTGGTTTTATATTAGATTGCTTTTCTTTATCTTCCCATAGATGCTTTGAATCCTTATTCACTGGGTTTCTCAAGGCCACCTCCCATGCAGCTGAGCAGAGTAGGTGCTTCATAGAAACAAGTCAATTTTTCTCATCAATTTCACAATTCCTGAGAAAGTAACCCTGAAGTATTTCAGCAAGATTTTGATCTACATGGATACAAAGTACTTTGAAATTAGTTCTATCTATAACTTCTTGGGAGATACTTCATGCAATCCTAAAATTCATCAGTGACAAGTTTAATCTTCTCATTAAAGATAATAAAGAGTCCAGTGAAGACTCCCTAGGTTTCTCGTGAATTATACGTTTCACACCTGAACTGCATCTTTTGTATTTTGTCCAGTAGCATCAACTGACAGCAGCTGTTGTTAAACTAAGGCATTTTTTAGAATACTGTTGTTTCCTAGTGTGTTCCATAGGGAAGTTAGTTACACTATGAAGGTTACAAGCAACTTTACAGTTCATGGTTACACTTTATAATCAAGAAAATAGATAAGTCTAAGGGAAATTAAGGAAATTAGAACAGTATTCTTCAATACCTGATCAGGTGAGAGAAGTCATTGGTAACAGTATTTTTGTCTTATTTTTTAATATGTAAAAAATATATATTGCATTGTTTTTGGAAAATAGATTTAGAGGTGATTAATTCTCTTTTTACATTTTAAAAATATTTCACTTTTTTCTTTTTTACAATTTTAGCCACTTATTCCAAGTGCCTCACATCACAGAATCAAATTAGTACTTGCATTGTACTGAAATCAATGGATAGATCCCAGGATTCTTGAGTCAGTCAAATCTCAAAATCCACAGATGTTTTTAGAAGCCTCATCAGTTTGATTTAAGAGATTTTCAAAAATATTTCTACAAGTCACACAAAAAGTGATTTTTTTTGTTTTTTCTTCATAAATAGCCCAGGAATGGTTATAGATATTTTAAACAGTATTGGAATCAATACCCTATAAGAAATCACTTATTTATATTCTGAACACAATGGATCATAAGATCCCATGTCATTTTTTTCTGTTGTAGAGAACAATGGTTTTCTTTAATTGGAACTTTTATGAACTACTATGGTAACTAATAAATCTTTTTCAAATTGGCAACTTCCCAGTGCTGAAGCTGATTTAATGTAGGTGGTGTTAAGAAACCATGTGATGATGAGACTATAATTTCTTGTGCTATTGTTAAAGAAAACAAAAGAAAGGCATTTAAAAAAAATCTTGGGGAAAATATTTTCTGAGTGAATAATTTTTTTCTTTTTTGCTTTAGCGATGATTTGTGAAAGAAGGGGATTACAGAGATTTAACATTTTCATAGAAATAATGAGTTTGTACTGAATGTAGTATTCTGTATCAGCTTGGCAGTTTCTAATGTGCAGTCAGTAATATCAAGAATCAACAATCCGAAAACTCTATTACAGATTTACATCAATTCTAGTTTATTTAACATTATATCATGTATATATTTTGTCTACCAGGTAATAAAATTTGTGATAATAACTTGGATTGTCAGATTGCCTGCATTCCCTCCTCCAAGTTGCAATTCAGTACTTTTAAAGCCAGTTATTTAATCTATTTCTACCTCCCCTGTTTCCGCTGTAGAGATAGAA